ATCAGACATATCAGCTTTATTTTGTGGCGTTGTTGGACCGTTTGCACTGCTTCACAGTTGGCAGACTGACATGTCCTCGGCAAAACTCGGAACCACTTGATCTTCGAAAACTTGTTTTCCTAAGCTCCCACGGCTAAATTTCATCCCCTTCTGCAAATGTCATTGACATGTTAGAGGATTTCTCACCTGCGCCTCATGACTGTGTTGGTGCCACAGGCTCTTCAAGAAAACATGCTAAAGTCGGAATGGTCGTGTCCATCCCAGACTCTTCAACCCTCTTCGTCCCAGTAGGAACCGACAGTAGGGATAATCCGGCGATCGTTTCATACCACCAGCCATAAGTCATCGTATAGCCTGTACACTGAGTTTGGATGAGTTGCGAATACCTCCCCACCTTCACCAGGTTTCACCGGAATATTTGTAGGTGGTATTGGGACGGTATGACGGTATGTATTGAATGTATTGGTATGATACCCTCCAAAGGTATCGTTTGGATTCGATCGCCCAGCTTCGACGCCTTCATCGTCCTCCTGACCGTGGCCAACGCCGTGGCCGTGGTCACGGAGTCGGCGGGCGGCACCGGCCGGGCGGCCGAAGGGGTGAAGTTCCGGTGAAGTGACTGGCTATAAGCCTCTTGTTACTAGAAGCGATGCACTTGTTCCTAGTAGTAAGGCACTTGTTACTAGAAGCGACTAATAGACTAGTAGCCTCTTGTTACTAGTAAGGATGCTCCTACTAGTAGGGCCAGGAGCCCCGTTCGTAGCGTCCGATCGCTCCTAGGCGATGCCAGGACCCCTAGTAGCTTCTTGCTTCTAGTAGCGATGGCCTCCACCTAACAGCGTCTTTGCTATTAGTAGCCTTTTGTTACTAGTGGCGATGCCAGGAGATACTAATGGTTGGTAGATGCAGCATGATGCAGCAGATTTGGGTGGTGGCGTGGAACATTTTCCCGGCGGGTTTGGGCTCAAGGCCCAAGGCTCGAGTCCTCCAGACAAACCCTAGTGAGGCCTCATGCCGCGCTCGCTCCAGACAGCAGCCCCCTGGGTTTTCCGGTGATTCTAAGGCAAACACGGCCACCAGTTGCAACTGTGCTTCCTAGACAGGCTCTAGACTGGAGATGCCAAATTAGCTATGTGCCAACATCGAGATAGAGTAAGATTATAACTAACTATGAATATATGTGTACTGTATATATATATATATGTATATGTATACTTGTGCGTTCACATTACAGTATTAGGACTTGGTAGTAATCATATGCAATCATATTGGCTTTCCTGAGTCTGGGACCGGGCTACGTTTCATGGTCGCATGTATTCATACTGTACGTTGTCCTTCGTATCTTTTGTTGCTTCAATATTGGCGTTGAGCTGGGTTGGTGCGCCACACCTTTTTGACGTCACCTATGGCTTGCCTGATGGGAATTGGTTGAGATTTGGCTAGTAGCTTCTTTCTACTAATAACAAGTGCATGACTACTAGCAACAAGAAGCTACTAGTAAATTCTTGCTACTAAGGATAGGCCTTGAGATACCAAACTAGGTGGGTAAGAATCGCCCAGGGCCGTTTCGCTTCCTGCGGCTGTTGCGCGTCTTCAGGCACCGTCGATTCGCCAGTGAGAAGAACAGTCAATGAACAGAATGAAAGCACCAAACATGGGAGGCCCATGCCATGGAAAGACTCAACATACAGAAGAGGTTTCCTTGCAGTGAGCTGTGTGACCAGGCAAGACGCTCGATAGTCATCGTAAGCCAATGGAGTAGTTACATATATTGATAGAGACGCTTGAGAGTCCCTCCATGCCCCGGCTGTATTTTTCACTTCGATGAGTCACAGAGTCACCACGGAGGATTCTTCGGATCATTCGCATCGCCTTCGTGGTGAGCCGCACGTTTCCGCGTTGCTGCACCTCAGCTGCATCAAGCACTCAAAGTGAGCATTGCAATCCTTTCATTTGCTCACAACACCTTGGAATTGGCAATGGTTCAATGTTTCATTTAGATTTCCCTGCACCTCTCCCGGCCAGGGAACCGGATGCCCCAGCCTCAGCTGCAATTTGTTCAATCAGCCTATATATCAATCCGCCCTTCCGGATGCGACGTGTTGCTTCATCGCTGAGGCGACGGATCACGGGGGAAAACAAGCGGCGCTTCGTGTCCTTGGAACATGACTTTGACTTGGACCTGGTCTACATCACGCCCCGAGCTCAACAACGCGTGCTCCATGCTGGAAGACTGGACGATGCGGCATGATCGGCGTGATAGGCCCAGATTGATCAGCATGAGCGTGCCGGCAGCTGGGTGCTTGTGTGACCCTCAGGACCCTCAGAGCCTGAGAACATGTGCTACGCGCTTGTTCGCCCACTCGAGCCTGTTCCAGAAGTAAATCCTCGAACAATCTCGAACACACCGTCTATCCCAGGGTGTTCGAGACTTAGATGTGCAGGATGTCTTCCCTCCCTTCCATGTGGCATGTCACTTCAGTTGCTATTCAGTTAAAGGGTGCCAGAACGCGTTGAATCACCTTGAAACCTTGCCAACCGCCCGCAGCTTTGCCGCAGAGGGGTTTTGAGGTCGCGCGGTGAGGAGCGTAGTGAGCTGCCAAGCTTCCAAGCTTCCAAGCTTCCAAACCTTTTCGGCGCACATGGCCCCCCAGACAGACAGAAGCATAGTGATCAGGGTGGTAGCTGATTCACTCACTGTTCCAGCACCCTTGTCCAAGCTTTGCCACAAAGCTCGGCTCGCCCTATCTTCGAGCAATGGCATTGCGATCGGCTCTGAGCCTTTGGTTCGCCGTGGTCGCCGCTTCCAAGAACGTGACAAGTCTGCGAGCAGGCAGTTGGGCGGTTTCATCATGTTTCATTATCAATTTTAAGATGAAGTCAGGGGCAAATTCTTAAGAGAGATTTTGGGACATTTGGAAGAAGATACCACATGATACAACTTTTTGCAATTCGCCAAGTGTTCCAGAAGACTAGCGGACAAGGGCAGATCACAGCGCACTTCCACAGTGCATCACGGTGCTCAACTTGCGGTCATTCAGCAATCTCGAGTCTGCACGGCCACAACACTGTACATAAGATGACAAAGACTGAACCTGCAGGTGCCGATGGAGGAGGTAGAATGCAAACGCTTCACGGAGATGTGTTCATTTTCGCAGAAATATATAAACAGGTTCTTTCACCTGCCTCACCCTGCAGGCAGCGGGGTGCCTGACTGCCACAACGCTCCAACATGGTCCGAATGCACGAGTCGCAGGTGTTGTGCACCCACGGACCGGTGCTACAGGAAGGATGAGCACTATGCCCAATGCCAGCCAGAAGGTCGGTGTTCTGAACACCCTGGTTGGCTTTGCGAAGTGCTGACGCCATGGGATGAGTGCCAGGACTTGAACGACTTGTGCCAAGACTTTGCCTCACACGGTGAATGCGAAAGCAACCCGGAGTGGATGTTGTGGTTTTGCCGGCGGACCTGTGGCCAGTGCTGAGTGGCCAGTTTTCGGAGAATCTCCGAACTCACTTTTGAACGCATGAGACGGGCATGCCGCATGGCTGAAAGTCCAAAAGAATCCAAAAGATAGAGCCTAAGCAAAGCACAGTTGGAATTCAGACTGCAAATGATTCGGCATTTTTCCCGCAAGTGGATTATGCCATGGCACTGTTTTTCTTGATCCGCGGCCCTCGCTGCGAGATGGAAAATGCACGTGTTGTCCTTTCTCCCGTCGCATTTGCTTCTTTTGATTCACTACAGCGCTTGGCCCATTGATTCACATTGGCCTCCTTCATTTCCCCCCCCCGAGCAGCACAACGGCAGTACATAGCAGTACCAAACAAATCCAAACAAAAACACCTTCAAAGAGGTGGTAGGCCTGGTGCTTTTCCTGGTGTTTTTCCCGCTCAGGATGAAGTTCTACCGGAACCCTCTCCCCGAAGTGGTCCGCTTCTTCGAGACCTTCCACCAAGGGTCGGGAATCCGAAGAGGGCGGCCGTCTCCGAACGAGGAAGGGAGCTTTTGGGGCATGTGATGGACGAGAACGGAACAAGATACAGGGGTATTTACAATTAGACGATATTAGACGATGATTTGATGAATGTATAGATAGGAAGCATGATGAAGTACAATGGAAAACTTGAAAAGCGCAGTTTCTAGTCCATATAACAGAATGCAATGTAGTAACCATCAGGAGGATCGCATGCTGCAGCGCAAGATTCGGATTGCGTGTTCAGACAACCTTGGTGTTTGCCCCACGCTGTTGGGTTCAGGCAGTGTGGACTGCTGGTAGGTCCGTGTAGACTGTTGACTGCTCAACCAAGGAAGTACCTCGTTGTGAATGCTTGCCCGGAGATTGCTTACAACCAGGCAGACTACTTTACTTTGTTCCTGACCAAACCCTTGCCAGCTCAGTTCAAGCGGCACGTCCTTGTCAGAGCCCAAGCATCTAATTTAAGTCTAATTATTGTATGATATTGCATGTATGGTCATATCTCACATCATGAGCACTATATATTATATATCATGATAATATGGTCATACTTCGTCTCATATATGGTATAATTATAAGTCCGGGCTTTTTGAGACGAAGAGGTTCAATTGGGCTCACTTGGCCAGTGTTGCTGGCGTCCACGAAAAGCAGTCCGAACCGTCGTGTGGTGTTCCCAGCCCGATGAGTCATGAAGCCTATGCAGGCAGCTTTCAACGGAAGGGTTGAAAGTTTCAATGTCAAGGAGCCGGCTGAAGCGTTGTCGCGGATGTGAGACGCTATGAGATTCTACGAGTGTCTCTTGGAAATGCGGGGGGTGGAGGACTCACCTAGCCCCGAAATTCGGACCACAGAAAACTGATGAATGCTGTCAAACTTAATTGGTAGAGAAACCTGGTATAGGGTCCCGGCATGTGCTTTGATCGTATTTCAAGGGTTGCTTGATCAGCCAGAGGATTTGCACTTGCACTGTATTCTGGAAGGTTGGCCTTTGCCTGCGTGACTCTTCATGCCGCCCTTTGCAGCATGTCCGGCCATTCAAAGGAACTTTGAGTCCTCCAAAGGACAGATCAGATCTGACCTCCAAACTGGGTTCTTAGAGCTTGTCAATCCAGCCATGCCATGGGTGCCTGTGAGCAGTTGGAGCTGGAGATTTGCTCACACCGAGGCTGCGGATGCAGGAATGGGCCGACGCCACAGTGGCGAATGAAACATGTGTCACGCATGGCTGTCACGCAGTTAGGCCTCCTGCATAGAGGGGTGGTTCTTTTGGTGGCACCATTGTGACATGAACAGTGAAGCCAAGCACCTCAACATCCCAGGCACCTTAAGTCTGACAACTTCTCACAGAAATGACAAGGGGAGCCTTGGGGAGTCATGCACCACCTGCGAATGGGAAGGAACGGCATCATAGAAGAGCTATGAAACATGATGAAACCATTTGTTTGTACCTTGGGGCTTGGTGTTGGCTTTTGGCTCCCCGCTCTGTTGGAGTCACATCTTCACAACAGCCGTTGCTTCCAGGCCTCCTGTCTGGCAACATCCAGCCGCGGCTGCTCACCCTGCAACGCCTTGAGACCCTGGTGGTCCAAGAACGCATCCGCTGTGTCACTCATTTGTCTTTAGTGTCGGAGGATCTTGTTCGAAAGGGGAGGATAACCTAGCAACAAGATGCAACAAGAAGTAAAGTGTAGTGTAGTGGAAGATTCTGCCGGCATAGGAGTCGCGTTCATTTGCCATATGTAGACCGTCCCCATGCTCTTTAAACTTTCACAATGGAGCTTCCGGCCCGCTCTCAGCTTTCGATCGCGTCACCCGCACGAAGGGTGCACAAATCCTGGCTCCGAATACCACAATTCAACAGATCGCTTTCAGCTCTAGTTACTAACCTTTTTTTTTGTCCTTCCCCAGGACCCAGCGCACACAATTCACCACCCCACCTCATCACCTCACGTCTCCCATGAGTTTCCATCTGAATTTTCCGGGACCGGGACCGGTCTCAGGCGGATTTGGACCTCTCGGAGCTCAACTCCACCACCCGCGTGGGACACCCGGCCGACCTGGCAGACCTGGACGCGTCCCAGGAGCCGCGACCGGAGCCGCGTAGCCTGGGTGTTTGGACATACGTTGTGACATGCATGATATATATATAATATATGTATGTATGTATGTATGTATGTATGTATGTATGTATGTATGTAT